TTGGGCCGGGCTTGGGTTTCTTAGGGTGGGTTTTTGGCTTGGTTCAGGGTCGGCTTAGTGCTGGTTTAGGGTGGGCTTAGGGTGGGCTCGTGTAGTATGGATCCAGGGTTGGCTTAGGGTTGGACTTCGGGTGGTTTTGGGTTTGCTTAGGGTTTGCTGGGGTTGATGTTTGGCGGTTTTAGCCCTGGTTTACGGCGGGTTTAGAGTTGGTGTTGGTTGGGCTTAAGGCTGGTTCAGGCTTAGGGTGGGTTGAGTTGGTTTAGTCGTGGTTTAGGATGGGTTTGGGGTTGGTTTCGAGTGGGTTTGAGGTTGGTAGGGATTGTTTCGCGCTCTGGTTTACAGTGGGTCTAGGGCTGGCTTAGGGTGGGTTTCGAGCTGGTTTCGGGTGGGTTTAGGGCTGTTTAGGGTTGGTTTAGGGCTGCTGTGGGTTTAGGCTGGTGTAGAGTTGGTTTTGGAATGGTTTACTGGTGGTTTGGGGTGGGTTTAGGGTTGCTATAATGCTGTGAAATTGGGTAGTTTTTTTCGGGTTGGCATAGGTGTGGGTTTAAGGTGGATTTAGTTGGGTTTAGTGGGGGGATAGAGTTGGTTTGGGGTTGTTGGGGCTGGTTAGGTTTAGCCTGGTTTAGGATGCTTTAGTGCTGGTCTAAACCTTAGGGTCGGTTTAGGGTTTGCTTAGGTTTTGTTTAGGGTTGATCTTGAATCTTGAGGTGGCTTAAAGCTGGTTCAGGGAGGGTGTGGGGTTGGTTTAGGCTGGGTTTCGGATTGGTATAGGGCTAGGGTGGGTTGAGGTTTGGCTCAGGGTTCGTCAGGATTGGGGGTTCAGGGTTTGCCAAGGGTTCATTTGCGGTTGGCCAGGGTTGGTTTCGGGTTGGGTTTTGGGTTTCTGTAGGCTTCTTCAGTGCGGATTTAGTGTGGGTTTAGGGTGGGTATTTACTTGCGGTTTACACTGGGCGTAGTGGGAGTTTAGAGTTGGATTAGGGTGGTTTAAGGATAGTTAGGCTTTGGCTGGCTCGGGATGCTTAAGCGCTGTTTTAAGGTGGGTTTAGGGGTGGGTTTGGTTGGTCGGTTTAGGGTGCTGGTTTGGAGTGGAAGTGATGCTAGCTGAAAATGTGGGAAGGCAAAGCAACCGCCAAACGCCACAAAAGCACGCAAAAAGCCGCGAAAGCCAAAGAAGCACACGCCCACCGACCGACCGACCGACCGACCGACCGACCGACCGACCGACCGACCGACCGACCGACCGACCGACCGACCGGGGACCCTTCCACGACCCAGCCCGCCAAGCCTAGGAGAAGAAGAAAAACTTGGGCCCTTTCCCATTTGCAATACATAAAGCAAACACATATTAACATTGCATTTGCGTATGTATACCTTGTGGAGGCCCTGTTTGGCTTTTGTGCAAAATTGGCTAAGTTATGCTCCGCACAGAAAGTAGACACGCAAGCGGACAAGGACATGAAAAACAGCCCCAGAAACGACGCGAAACCCTGGAGGTTGAACACATTATGTCAATGCCATTAAACAACTGAACATGAATCTGTGAATGCTATATACCATGCATGCGAAAGATAGCATCTATATTGTAGAGACCCTAGATGCCTCAACTCAAATCACCCCTGCACCCTCGATCGATCCCGTGCACAGAAACCACTCCCTTTACACCTAGAAGCTTCCGCGGCGCCGGCCGTGGGGGATCTGCTGGCCTCAATGGGTTGCCCACCTTTGGGTGACGAGGGCATTCAAACTATGCATTCTTGGATGCTACATGCGTGATCCTTTGGACCCGCATATCAGAAAACGAATTTAGTTGCTACGCAGGTTCGCATGGTCATCACCGGACCAGCGAGGCGGAGCCTTCACACAGCTGGTTGTGTTTGTGCTCTTGCTCATGTTCAATGAGTATCGCCCCCCAAGCTCCGTGGAACTCGTTGCATACTACTCTTTGACCTCATGCCGAGCCTAAAACTCGGGCTGCAGCAACATCTATTCAGGGTACCCATCAAAACCGAACACAAAAGCAATGCCAAATGAGCAGCTCCCAAAAACCATTGCCATTTGATTCTCCGAAGTTGGCTATACAGTCAAAACCATCCCCATCAGGATTCCCATCTGGGTAGGGAAACAACCGAAGCCCCCCCAAAAAAAAACAGTGGAAAGGGGTGCTGATCGAAGCAAAGGGTTTGGATCGCAATAGGGGAAGCCCGACTGAAAAGTCCCCAATCAAGGTCTTGCATGATCCAAAATCAGTGGTTTGATCAGGGGAACCCTGCTCTGGCGCCAGCTTGGCATACCAAGCCAACTAACTTACACTGTTCACACTTTAGGCCACACATTTCTCAGGATCTAAGGACCCGGGTACAGACCTTGTGGCTATCGAGCGGCGAGATCCGCTCGCCGCGCCAGGGCTCGCGGAAGAGGGGGCCGGCACCCAACCCGGGGCCTCCGGTCCACATTCTTGCCGAATCCGAATCAGTCGGGGGAAAAAACCGACTTTGACACATCTATGACACATCAGTGAAAGATTCTGCCTACGAGAAAACTAATGGGAAATGAAGATGAGAAGGGCGAGCGACTGCTGTTGATTTGCTTCGTGTGGTGCTTTCATCATTGTTTGTCTTGATTCAGCATTGCCCAAATTCAAATTGGCAGTGATTTGTCCTTGCAGGACCCTCAGACTCCAGCCAGCCCCAAATCAAAGCACACCTGCCCAACCCACCTGCCCCAAACCACAAAGTCCAACTACCAACCATGGGGGGAATCCATCATCCCGCAGAATACCAGCTAAATCAGGATTCCAGGGAAAATGACGAAGCTCGGACGGACATTGGTCGGTTGGTTGGTGGTTGGCTGGTTGTCTGGCTGGTTGGCTGGTTGGTTTGAGCTTGGCGTGTTGCTAGTTTTGGATTTCCGCAGATCGCTTCCGGCCTTGGCTCCGCCCGGGCTCCGGCTTGGGCGGCGAGGGCGGCGCGGCCTGCAGCGACGGAGCAAGGCCCTAGGCTCGCCAGGGCAAACGACGTGGCCGCATGGGTCGCAGACTTGGCCAACCCATCCTAAAGGGCCCCTTCCGGATACATCTCAATGGTTCCGGCAGACACCCTGGAAATAGCTGATAAACATGGTGCTCACTATGGCCAATGTGCCTCCATCTTATTTCATGAAGCACAGTTCTAGCCCCACATTCGAGGGAAGTCTCATGCCTTGGGCTTGCCACTGCCTTCGGCTCCCATCGCTGCGTGGCAGGATTGAAGAAAAACTCCTTCTTCTTGGGCTTCGGGTTGGCTTTGGCGAAGGCTTCACCTTGGCATATGTGGCAAGGCCACGCTCAGAACGTCAAGACCTTGCAGAGGTGGAAGCATACACCCATAAATGCCAGCACGCAAGCAATCAAGCCAGCAAGCAATCAAACAAAAAAGAATGGGTGCGGATTCATTTGTTTGTCGGATCTTTTTTGGATTTGTTTTTTTTGTTTTTCCGTTTTCGTCCGGGCCAGTAAAATGTCGTATTTTACAGCATTTCTCGCGAAAATGACGCATTTTACACTAGCCCGTCAACATCCCCAGCATCGTTTTCAACATCCCCCGCATGTCCGGCCAACATCCCTACATAGCATCACCAACAAATCGTGGGTAACAAAAGCGAAAAAGTAGCTGGCGGGTTGATGGGGTTTAAAAATAATGATTCAAATAAGGGCATTTCAGTCCCTGTAAAAAAATCACTAAAAAGAAGCGGGGGGGGGTTGGGGGGGCGGCAGCCCCCCCCCCCTGATGCTCGCAGAAGTGATGATTCGAATAGGGGTGCAATCCAATCTCTGCAAAAAGTAAAAAAAAAAAAAAGTGGGGGGGGGGGGGGGGGGGGTTGGGGGTTGGGGGTTGGGGGTTGGGGGGGTTGGGGGGGTTGGGGGTGGGGTTGGGGGGGGGGTTGGGGGGGGGGGCGGCAGCCTCCCCCGTGATGCTCGAAGAATTGATGATTCAACTAGGAGTGCAATTAAATCTCTGTAGAAAATCTAAAACGTAGCGGGGGGGTTGGGGGGGGGTCAGCCCCCCCCCCACGATGTCGGAAGAAGTGATGATTCAACGCCCTTGCCACGGTCCACCCGAGTCCATCAGTTCCTGGCAGGGTGCCCCCATCCATCGGCCGCGAGGGTCTCTGTGGTTCAGGCTCAGCGGGCCTGACGTCTCAACTCCAGGGCCCAAAGGACAAGGAAAATCACCCCAGCCGAAACTGCTTGGGCGATTCCCATTCTTTGAGCCATCGTTCTTCCAAAAACCAACAACTGCCCGTGGACTAGTGAATCAGTAATCAGTATGTAATCCTTAAACATCACCCCAAAAGAAGCCTTATCCTCAAAGTGGCAACCAGAAGATGATGTTGAAACGCTTTGTCTCAAAATCGGGGACCCAAAAAAGCTAGAGGTTTCCCTTTTGGCTTATTTTTACGCCAAGCCCAAACCAGGCACCCTCACAGCCCAGATAGGGACCTCCCAAAAAAAAAGAAAAAGAAAGCCGGGACAACATGCGCCTCAAGGTCTCGGATCCCCTCGAAGTCTCGGCCGCGCGGAGCATCTCGATGAGGGACTCGAAGGCGCCCTCGTCCTCCTGCGCGAGCGAAGGGAAACCGGTCTGTTTCGGTCGCTTGGGCCTGAGCGGTTCGGTAGAAAAGGAATTGGGGCCGTCATTCTGGGGTTGAATTACTCAAAAATGGTGGGGAGCCAAATCACTAAACCACTGAGGGAAACAAGCTTGACCGTGCAGGCCAACCCTGGTCCTCCCCATCATCATCGGCAGCCAGAAAATTCGGCGCCTGCTGGGCTTGCATGTGTCCGATTTGTGCTGCTGGAAACGGCCATCGGCTTTGTTCATGTGCAGAGAGCTTGGTGTTAGGTCCAATTACGACACTAAGAGAATCGTGCTGAAAGTGAGAAAGATGCTATGGGCCGGCCTACTTTGGCATCACAGAAAAGATTGCTTAGTCATTTCCCAGAGCCACAGCTTTGCTGCCAAAGGTTGTGGGAGGAGATTCAGGCCCCAAAATATCCTGGCAGAACCCCGCCGGCCTGCCGCTCGCTCTTGGCCTGAGATGAGGCAGAATCAAGCCTGGATTAATAGCGCCTTGGCTAACTAAAAGCAAGCTGTCCCATTTAGGGGCCATGGCCTTTTCAGCTTTGAGGGAAAGGAAATGGCTTCCTCACCAAAAAAGGAGCCCCGCAAAGGTCAATCACTTGCGCCATTCAATCCATGGAAAATCAGAAGGAAGCCAACCGCATTTGGGGACAATGTTCCGCGCATCTCTGTCCCCTCCCCGCGCCTGCGACGCCTGTGCGGAGGCCGCCTGAGAGGCTGCCGCCGCCTGCGCCGCTCCGGCGAAGGGGTCGTAGTCCGACTCCTCCGTAGGGGCCTCCGTGTCAGCATCGTCCTCCTTTCGCCCGGCTTACATTTTTTTCAGTGCTGTGCCCCTTTTGAGAGTCATGCGCACGCTTCATTCACTCCGTGTCAAGGCAGCCTGGTTTGTTTTCGATTGGCCTTCGCAATCAGAACTTGCAGCCCGCACAAGGCCGACAGACAGACAGGCAGGCAGACAGACAGACAGACAAACAAACAAACCAAACTCACTCACTCACTCACTCACTCACTCACTCACTCACTCACTCACTCACTCACTCACTCACTCACTCACTCACTCACTCACTCACTCACTCACTCACTCACTCACTCACTCACTCACTCACTCACTCACTACACTCACTCACTCACTCACTCACTCACTCACTCACTCACTCACTCACTCACTCACTCACTCACTCACTCACTCACTCACCTCACTTCACTCACTCACTCACTCACTCACTCACTCACGCGCTCGCTCGCTCGCTCGCTCACCCACCCACCCACCCACCCACCCACCCACCCACCCAGACACACAGACACGCGAAAAGCGCTGAACGGTGATTCAGGTGAGACGAAAGGGCCTTTGATTGGGAGGGAGTACCAGAGAGGTCCAGCGCCACTGGCGCCCTGAACAGTGACCAGTGACTACTCTCCTCAGTGAGGAGCCGGGCACGGTGACTTGTCTAACTCGGCGCCATCTTGGAAGGCCGAGCGGCACACACCTTGGAATACAGGAGAATCACAGAGGTCATACGTCAGGTACGTCACTGAGCGTCCTCAGTGATATCACCAGCACGCATCCGGTGTCTTCGTTGGTGCAAGACCGGATGGGCTGCTTGCACCCCCTGGTGTGAGAAACTGAAGAAGGCGGCCTGGCCTTCCATCCATGAACTAGGATGATCCACACACGCACAGGCGCCGCTTTTTGCGGCAGGATGGGCTTCAAAACTTACTGACTGAGATTTTTGATGTCAAACCATTTGGTTTTCACAGTTTCGGCAGGTTTGTTCAAGATCCGGCCAATCGCCTTGTAGCTGGGCCGAGCACGCTCAATACTCTTAAGTTCTATCAGTAGGTGTAGCCAAGGATGACGAGTCCTGTCCAGATCACCATCCTTGGTGAAGTTGGAGGTTGGTGCATCATCAGGTGATATGTGATTCGGAGGGTGTTGATCCAGAGCATCAGGATGAGGTATGCGTTTGGGTGTAGGAGAGGTCTGGCCTAGTTGGCCCGTGCTGATTGTGGTGGTGTTAGTGGTGGTCTCATGCACAGGATCCTCAAGTGACGTAGGGGTCAGCTGGTCGGTGGTCAGGTTGACCGTCGTGCCGGCTGGTGCTGTGGGAGGGTGATCAGTGAAGGGGTTGTCAAAGACGTCGTCAAAACTGTCAGTAGTGGAAGACTTGCCGCGCTTGGGTAACGGTACGTGAGGATGGGTGGGGCAGGTTGGTTGGGCGTGACTGTCACTGGTTGGGAACCCTTTGGCCTTCTGTCTCACCACCTTCCCGTTGCAGCATCAAGCTCCAAACCTGCCAATCTAGATCTTCGGCACGGCGGACTTCGGATACCATCATTTACCACTTTGGCGACCAACTATGGCACGACCTTACGCAACCACACGGCCCGGACCGACAGACCTCCAAACACTTCCTTCTTCGGCACCGGGATTCATTCCCTCCTTCACCCCCTGCGGTGTGGTCAACTGACACTGATTTCACCCTTCCACCACGTCGCAACACTCATCAACGTCCTCACTCACACGACCCGCCTTCTACACCATGCTCTCGCACTTGGCCTTCATCTGTGACACCTACGAGCAACCAACAACACGAGTCTTCGACCACCACTCCAGCCCACCCAAGCCGTGCACTACACGCGTTTCTACCCCTTCCCCACCCAGACGGGCGCCACCTGCCTTACCAACCGTTTACGTACCGGACTCCAACCACTTCGACACGACAGTGGTCTATGGACTCAACCCGCCCAGGCATGTCAGCAGCGCCTCCTGGAGCCAAGAAAGCCAAATCGGCGGCATTCCTACTGAACAAATCCCACTCGTCAATTTACTCCACCACGGGTGGACAAGCTTTTGGCTCCGACGAATCGCGCATGGCCAGCCGGTCCACTTGGTCTGCGCACGTGACATGGCGGAAGCCGTACTTCTTGCCGAACTCAGCCCATCCGTACGAGCACGTCACCTTCACTCGGATGCATGAAGGCTCTCATTAAGCGCTTGATATTGCTGAGCTAAAGCAAAGCGATTCAAAAACCGCAGCCGCTGACAATCAGCCTCCTTCTGTTCGCGATCTCTTGGCCAAGACTACCTTGGGCACCTTGTCGGAGAACAGACAACGCACTACCCCAACCAAAGGCTACCAATGCCAACGCCGAGCCGACTGATGACAGCGAACCTGCCCTCGACAAACCATCACCATCCGCTCACGACTTCCTTCACAACACTCCCACGCAACGCTGCCAGTGGGTCTTACACAACTACACTGGCACCACCCACCAATGAAGCACAATTCAAGCAGTTCCTCAAGAACATCAAGACGCCAGCTGCCAAACGCAAGCAGCTGCAGTCCATGATTGATCAAGTCACTACTTGGTCTACCACACTAACCGAAGAAGAAGCCAGCCAACTGGAAGCCAACGCCATCCTTTGCAGCTTTCCCAGCAAAACACTTGGAAAACACAACTCGCGGTGCTCCACAAGCTGACAACCTCTACCGGCTCACCATGCTTGCGGCACCAGCTCCGGCTTCTACATTGACACCATCTCACTCGCAGGCAAACCAGGACGCAACTTCTTGGGCTTCCCAATGGAGGATCGATGCATCGAACACAAGCCTCCTGCTTCCACTGACAGTTCTTGCATCCGGCTTCCGCGTCTTCTGCCATGGTCATTTGCAGTTCCCTTGGCTCGCGTAAACATCTTGCCAAACACTGGCATTCCCGGCCCGTGAAGCTGACGCCGCTCTATGCCAACTTCGAGCTCTATGGCATCAAGCTTCAGCTTCTTCTGATCTTCTGGGGTACGCTCCGACTAGACACATTCCTTTCGACAAAAAGCTGCTTGACTGTTGCGCCTTTGTAGTTTTTCATGCTTCACTTCGCTTGCTTTATGTTACGCAGCCTTCTAGCTAACAACGTTGTTTCACCCCATGATGGCAACGGAGCTACGTGATCTCCTAACTCAGACCCGCGACATGCTTTCTGCGGCACTCGAGCTCTGGACACAATGAACGCGCCGCGGATCTCGCTGCGATGCCCGGCAATCCCACCCACGACGGCATTGTCACTCGGACCCCTACTGAGCTCTTGACGCAGACTACCACCCTGCCGTTCGGACCCACAAACGCACCAGTGACCGTCATGAGTGAGACGAACAGTAGCAAGTTAGCAACGGGCTGTTTTCATGCCAGTCGATATTGTGAAACGTGGTCATTTGCAACATCTGATTGATACATGAAAGGGGTCTGACCACCACAACCTGGCGAATCGTGGAGCGAGCCGCGTGGAAGGCCCAATAGTCACTTCGAACTGCTCTGACGGCACGCTGAATTTCCGAAACACCGCCTGCATCAGTTCGGCTGTGAGGGACATGGCCCGTGTACTCACCAAGGATGATTGCTGCTTGCTGTCCTTTGCTGATCTTGTACAATTTCGGAGGAGATCGTTGGCGTTACCCTCGCTGAGGTTGCCCTCCGTAGACGAAGAATCCGAAGGATGGGAAGTCGTAGCCAAAAACACCACGCACGCGACGGGCGTCCGCTTGCATTTCCGCGACGCCAGCCCTTTCGGCGGAGTGGCGCGTTACCATTATTGTCTCACGGCACAACACGCGCCGGAGTTGCAGGGATATTGAAAGATCGCTTGCTCCGTCCCAACTCGTATATATATGTATAGACCCATGAAGACGCCCTCGGCATGGACATGGATGCCGGTGCCCAGGATCGCGTTGACCAAGCCCTTGCGTTTGGGGGACAGGGAGATGAGGATCGGTGTCAGCTTCTCCAACAGAGTTGGTACACGGCTGCAGTCCTGCATGGCGGACTTGATGTCACTGAGGTCGGGGTTCGGACGAAGCCGGTGCGGGTGGGGGCCGTGCGGAGTGTGGGGTCGACGGTCATGTTCTTCGTGACCACGCGTGGTACAAGCAGGGCTGTGACTGTGATGCCGAGGCTGACGTTGTCGGTCGGTGATGGTCCGGACGGCGAGAACCAGGTCGCGGTTGGTCGCGTCGTGCAGAATCGCGTCGTCGCGACCGATGCCGGCGTTGGTCAGGATGGTCACGTCCACGCAAGCGTGAAACACGGCGCCGCGCTCGATCCTGGCTGTGGTGTCCGGTCTGCCTGGAGTCCGGAGCGGGGCGAAGGATCACACGAGCCCCTTGAAGATTTTTGGATGGTCGGCGATGTCGGGTCAAAGAGCGACTTCGCGGGCTTGACGGGGTTCTGGTATCGCCAGGATGTGGCGCTTGAAGGTGGTACCAGTGAGTGCCTGGTAAGTGCGTTGACGGGTAAAAGTGGTGGTTGTGGTGGTAATAGACAGTGGAATGGCGGCCGATGGACTGGGGAAACCATGGGTGATGGTTGTGGAGTGGATGAAGAAAGGTGGGAGTGCGTGAGTTTGGCCGGTAGGGGTCATAGAGTGATGGATGCCAAAGTCCGTGGTTGGCGCCGTAGTTTGGCACGGATGTACAGAACGTGCGCTTGCCGGCATGTAGGGTGTCGGAGGACCCGGTCTTTGTTGGAGTCCAAATCAGCTCTTGGAGCGCTGCTCCCAGGAAAGGTGAGGAGGTGGGTGTCGCACGTCAAATTGCAAATCACTTGCTTGTTTGAGCCCGATGACACGGGGAACCGAGACGGGTGTGAGTGCTGAATCTGAATCTGAATGAACGAAAAGCGCTGAACGGTGATTCAGGTGAGACGAAAGGGCCTTTGATTGGGAGGGAGTACCAGAGAGGTCCAGCGCCACTGGCGCCCTGAACAGTGACCAGTGACTACTCTCCTCAGTGAGGAGCCGGGCACG